AACCGTGTGCGATAATTAAATGGAATGCCTCGACGGACTAAAAGAGCAGCTGACGCTTTCTTCCCTTGACGAGGAAGAGTAATTAACTCTCCTCGCTTCTGATAAGTCGGCCACCACTCGCGTCTATTTAACTTCCCGTTGCGATTTCGACTTTACTCTGGCCGAAGTTCGCTCTGGCTGAATCGTTCGTTGACGAAAAAGGAGATTACAATTTATTTTGATAAAAGTTCTATTGACGAAAGAAGCCTTTCCCTATGAAACTTACTAATCTTATTCTTCAGCGAAACCATTTGTGATTGGTAAAGTATACAATCTTCCATCTATGGAATTCTCAATTCAAATGCTTTGACGACGGAGAATTCCAACTCTGTTGATATTGGAGTTCGGATCAAATTGATCTCTTCGATGATACAGAGGACGCGGACCAGATCTTCAGAATTAATCGTCGATCTTGTTCGAGCGTTTCAAGATTATATACATTTTAACTGGATGAAAAGGAACGTTCGCGTCCGCAAGTTTAGCCAACACCGTACTAAACGGTTTAGCCGGTGTTTGCGAACTAGTTAAACCGTCGATATTTGCTAGCCCGGTCTCTGAAAACGGAATCGAGCCCCATAGGTCGTGAACAAGCGACGGGGTAACTGGGCGCAAATGAACTCGGTCCCTCGTAACCCGGAAATGAAACGGCGAAGAATTAACTGCTCGCTGCAACGCGTTCCCATCCGCGACCCCTGCCAGCGTTATTAGCTTCATCGCTCTCGTGCCTGACCATTTATGGATATTGGTTACTTGACCATGGATAACCCTTTCGACGATCTCTCTTCAAGTTCAATTTGAATCTTTTTCAAAGTAGTCTCAACAAGATGATTCAACACAGGAATAAAGATTACAACTTATAACAATAAGTAATTCCTCATAATTATCCATAAATTAAAATATCGCATAACTACGCATAATAATAAAAAAATCGCATTTCAAATGGTAATCTTAAAAATTAGAAATAAAACGGGAGCAAAGCCTATTAAACTTTTTCATTCGTCCACAAGTAATTGTCGATTGGCTAAGAGTTCAACGCGATATTCCACGGGAGACGTCACGAAGGGGAACGAAGGCGACGCGACGATTGCATTCATTGCCCTCAATAAATTCCTCGCGGCGCAGCGCCTGAGATAGCGTGCATGCGACGACGCTCGTATTAACGGGCCACCGCTGCGGAACACATTGCGACGCTCGATAGTTTCTCGTGGCCGTGGGGTTCAAGCCGCGAATGCAGATTCGTCGACGTGCGATCACTCGGGACACTGTAAGGGCTCCTTTTGTCCCGCGACAAGAATTTATAGTGCGCGAGTCGTCGCGAGAATTACGAGCTTGCTGCTCGGCCAGGATCACTCCGATAGCCTTTGACGGCCGTTTACGAACCTCATGAAACCTTCGAGTATCTCTTTTCAAGCCTACGCGAGACTTTTGCTTTAAAATATATTTTTTTTTTGCTATTCTTGTATTTGTTTTAATCTCAGTGCACAGCTTTAATCCTTTTATACAAGCTTGCAACTCAGTAAGAAATTATCGCAAAGGATTTGTTCCACGGGTTCGTTTGACGATTTATGAAAAATACATCAAAGAGTAATGTGAACGTCTAACAAAGCTCCTCGTAATTAAAGCCGCGATTTTGATAAAAACGATCAAGAGGGCAGAGGGAAAATTTTTCATAAGGACACAGGAATTATTCCTGTGCGTCGTTAAACGTTTCCAGGTAGTGGCTCCGGGATTTAATTCCGGAAGGAATGACGCCGGAAGCTCGTTCGCAAAAGTGAATGCCACGGCTGATTATTTTGCAATTCGTGGCACGAGGCGGTAAATCAGAAGATTATTTAGCGCCGCGAAAGCGCTTTCGCGGAGGTGTTCACGCGGCTACCTCCGGGAAGTTGAAACGAACGTGCCCGTTATATGTTACGCGTGCTGGCTCATGTTTATTCCTTGGGATGTCCCCTTTTATTCCCCCGTAATCCCTTATCCGTGCTTTCGGTCGATCCTCGTTTCTCAACTAGCCGCTTCCTGCATACATTCGCGCGTTGCCAAGCAGACTTCATTCGATCCCGAACGTTTCAACAACGAACCAACACATTGCCTTGTACGGAAACGCGATGCTTTTTAAGCGTCACCGCTGTTCCGCGTTCCGTTATCGATAAATCGTTTAACTCGAATCCTGTTCCTCGATGACTGTTTAGTTTTATCGCGGAAACGTTTCGACCTACGCCGCTCGTTGTACAATTTTGTTCCGTAGTTACAATCTGGTTAAGCCGACCTCTGTTTCGAGTAAAACTCGATATAAAAATCGTTCAAACCTAAATTGAAGCTCGAACGAACAAGTTTAAGCATTCGATGAGTCCAGCTTGCACTCCTGTTTTCCTTGCCATTTTCATCCCCTGTATTATTCATCGCCATAACGAATGTCTGTTGTCTATCAACGTCAATTTACGTTTATAAAGAACGCTTCTGAACAAAAGTATATTCCTTGCATTCTTTATTTATTTTGCGAGGTCGTACACGGTTAACGGTTGACGAAACGCGATGCCACCTTTGAGAGAAGTTGCTCCCGCTGTCTGTTTCGTAGGCTAACGAGCATGCTTTTCCAAGAAGTCGCTCACTCGCGCGAGTACACCGCTACAGATGACGACGGCTTGTCTCGTAAACGAGATTTCCTTTTGTCCCATCCATCGAAATTACAGTCGCGCTTCCATCGGAATTACGGCCGTCGCAGTTTTCATTATCGCGTCACGACTATCCGCGATACTGACGTTTTAATAGCTTCGGATTTCCGAACGGTGGAACGGACACTCGAGGAGCTCGTTTCTCGAAGAATACGAGCAGCCGGCGAGCACTTAGTGGAGAAACCTATCCAAGGAGGAGACTCGATAAAACAATTTTTCCACTAATGCAGTCTCAGTGGGTTCCTCGTTGATCTTTGCCAATATCGGGAACCGTAACTCAGGAAACGAACCCACGCCATTGGACGGATTTATCCAAGGGAATCGGTATAAATTTCAATACCCGCCTGGAAGTTTTTTTTAGACTCGTTATTGTTTAACGTGAAGAGGGTTATACTCGTTATCGCGATCAAAAGCGACAATTTAGTCAGAAATTATTCACGCTCTCTATACGGTTTCTATTAAGGAGAGGATCTCTGAAAATTATCGACATCTTTGCATTGGTTTCCTCACTTGTTCGTATAATTACATTAGTTTACGGTCTTCCTATTGTGACCATTGCGAGATATTCGAACCCGAGCAGAGAGAATTGTTCGGAGGTACAGAAATTGATACCGTCAAGCGAATTCCCTAAGTAAAATCGCTTTGTGTACTTCGTGTTTCTACAAAGCCGTCGCGCAACGGCGTCTAGGTGAAACGCAGGAAGCGGTAATCGCGTCGAATCGTGCTATTAGCCAGCCAGGAAAGCCTGATACAAATTTCTCCACGGACTATCTCTCCGGATAATATTCCGCTGTGCTCGCTGCCAATTTCCGGTGGATCGATCTATCCCCTCGACGAAATGATCAATCTTCTTCACGGTTCACGACACTGGCGACTTTTGGCCGATTGACTTGGCCGCCGGATTCGGTATAATGGCGAGCCGGAATCAACCCGAGGCGTGGAAATGTCGAAGTTCACACGTGGTGCTACACCTGGGTTCAAACGAGTAACGTGGTTCGTACACGGAAAATCGGTCCGACGTTCTATGATTATCGACGCTCACCGCGAATTTGCTAACTAAAACTTAACGCCGCGACTCGGAACTATACGGTTCGTTCCGTGAAACAAGCAAACCGGTGCGGTGGTCTCACAACGAAAGCTGTACACAAGTCGCAGTCAAACGGAAATTAATAAATGTTCAACGCGAGTTATTAAAGTGTGCGTCCAATTAATTTCACGTGTTAAATAAAATATTAGCTGTGGCCTCTATGAAATTAACTAGATTCATTTCGCGACTTCATCACCATATTTTAGGTATACATAAAATATTCGAAGCAGTAGAGGAGTACTTTTACTCGTTTAGAAACCTTGGATTGATTATGAAAGAAATGAGCCGATGTGAGACAGGAAAATTTTTATATACCATCGTATAATGTAAAAACGTTTTTATATATTATATTCTAGACGATGATCGCGTTTTCGAGTTTCTTAACGCTCTGAAAACTATCTGTTCTGAATACGACGATGCATCCACCTATTATGTTACGAAAGACAGATTTCGTAAAATGTGTGTCGAACTAATCTAAGTACAGCCATTGACGTGATTTATAGAGCAGGAGCGTTCGGATTAGAAGAATGCTAGAAGAACGGAGAAAGTGGCAGGTGAAAACTGTTACGCGTTCGATTGACCGCCTCATCGAATGTATATAAAAATGGAAATCGGCATTCTGAGTTGCGTAAAATCGTTTCCGCGATATTTAAACGATTAATTTCGCTCGGAGAAAAGATAATTGGGCACACTGTGTGCTCGGTTTGTTTGCCGGGAAGCTGAGTTTCTCCGTTGAAGGTGTTTATTAGCAGCGTCGCGGGGCGAGCCGGAGGTTTAATGAAGACACAGTTAATAAGCTTGTTAGAGACGTGGGCGAAAGACGCGAGGCACTGCGATAGTTAGCCTTATATGCGCAGTCAATGGATGTGTCTCGGTGCATGGAACCTGCCGTTTCTCTCTCTCTCTCTCTCTCTCTCTCTCTCTTTTTCTCTCATCCGCCGCTTTGACGGATAGTTAATCGCGAGTAGCCGACGTAAGCACGACATTTGGACGACATGCGACCCAGTACAGTGAAAAGGGAACGCGAATGTCAGCAGCAAAAGTTGCAACTACAGTATCTTCCAGTTTGTTGGAAAATTCTCAATTGTGTCACAAGCTATTACATCTATTCCATCTATATCCCTGTAGAAGATTATATTGAAGCAAAATGCAGTTTAACTAATGAACGACCAGATATTGAATCGATTCTTTTTATGTTGCAGCTGGAGCCGCTTCTGAGGAAACTAACCAAAGGTCCGGTTCTGCACACAATCGCCACTCTCTCACGAAGGGTAAGTGATCAAGAATAAACGGATCTTCACACTCGTTAGGATCGTGTCATGTTCGGTCAATCGTCTGGAATATCGACGCTGTGTCGCTTTTTTATCTCCTTTGTCTACTCGTTTTGCACTATCGTTACCATACAGATATCGCGGAATATTGTCTGCACACTTCATGCATGGTCGTAAACACATGTACATACGCGTAGGCGCGCGCGTTAGCAGCGAACGTGAACGGTCGTTTAGGTATATTATGGCATGTATATATGGAAGGTGTATCATTTCGTTTTCCTTTTGTCGCAGTAGCTTCTGGCAAATGTTTCTGTTGTAACGCTGCTACCGCCACAATAGACGGACAGGTCCTTTCTCGTTGATCAGTGGCTGTAAATTCGTAAAACAAAAGAACCCAGTTTGTTTCCGGAAACCGGCGTAAATCTAGCCGGTATTTCTCATTAAAAAAAACGTGAAGGAAGAATAGAGGAAATATTCGACGGAGATATTCGGGTCACCGGTCATTAAGACATGGCGATTTTAATTATCGAATCGGACAGTCGGATTCGCTCTTGCTTCTTCAATCGAAACCTGTTCATCCCGCAATTCTTTCCTAGACAATTTTCATTGCTTCGCTGTGATTGAAAGATGATAAAAAAGAGCGTCGAAACGTGACAATACATGCAATAAACGATAGACGATGGAAACAATTGAATCTAGAATTGACGCATATCGATTCTATACGCGATTGTTTGGTTGCTGCCAGATAACGAACGCAATACCTGCGCGAGTCGTATCACGATAAGTGGATTTAATATCGTTTTAATTTTCAATGGTCATCGGGCACAGGACGAACCTCGTTCGTCGAGAGCTGCGAGTGCGATCAGCTGTGAGCAGATCGACCGTCGGATTGATAATAACGGACGCATTTGTCTGGAAGAGTAACGAAAACTCGGCGTATCTAGAAAAATACCCATCGTGGGCGACTTGTTCTAAATGTTTAGTCGCGTGGATTCTCAACTTGGATTCAACACTACTCAGACCCTTGCATCGGAAACGTAGAGACCTAATATTCCAGATATAAATGTTTTATTAAGCGTAAAATGAGATCGGGAGCAGAGTAAACGTAAATAGTTGCAATATATCATTCGTTATCGCTGGAGCATAAATTTCATCCCTGTATGGTAACCCAGCCGCAGCGATAAGATAGATGAAAATTGCAGGTCGGCGAAAAATCCGAATGTGGATAATGTGCTGTAATTAGGAATTTGCTTGACGAAATATTCAGCTGGACACCAACTGCGAGAGTCAATTAACAGACCTCGGAGCCAGAAACGGAAACAAAGTCTCGCAGGCGGGGATCGCTGCATGTGGAGCTCGTTCGCTCGTTAAATATTAGTAGAACACTCCGGCTACGCTAGGATGAGGAACCAGGACAATTTCGATCGTCATTCGCAGACTCGCAGCTCCATTAAAATGCAGTACGAGCCTATTCACTGCCGCGCCGTTGCGTACGAATTGGTGGCTTCTGTTCGTCATGGCGCTGGCGAGGGTAAATTCATAGGTGCCACTCTCGAAAGATAGACACCTTTTTACAACATAAAACTTTCTCTGTCCTTTCGTTTTAGGACACTAAATTTCAGTCCAATTATCGATTAAATGAATTTTCGAAAATCACAGATCATGTAATCCAATTTAAGGATGTACTGGCTATACAGTCAATCCCAAAAGTTTATGCACTTTAGAAACGCATTTTTTAAAAAGAAATCAGATGTCGGAAGAACATTGCTAATAATAAACAACAAAAAAAAATTTTCGATTTTTCCGAGATTTTTCCAAGGGATACCCCTTCAATTTCTTCCAAATTTTCGTTTTTGGCCAATAACTCCCAAAACGTTGGACATATGGAAAAATTGCATATGACCTTTCTTGTAG